ATGGCCGGCCCTTCCTTCCCTGAGTGGGCGCAGCGACCCTTGCGTGCCGCCCACCTGGCTCGCGTCTGGCCAGGGCTGCGCGCGGACCCCGCCCTCCCTGCCCCATCGGGTCGGCGCCTGCTCCCCCCGTCCCGGCCAGGGGGACAAAGCGCCGAAGTGCGGCAGGAAGCGTTCCGGCTGCACAAATGACCCACACGCCACACCTGCAAGACGGGGGTACTTCCTCCCCGAAGGACAGCGGCCCCCCTTTGGGTAACTCTGGGCCGGTTTCACAGAAGACAGTTTTTCCATGGGGGGTGGTTTCAGGATCATCCAAGCGCATCACGCTTACGGTGCGGTGACACCTCTCTGCTAGGGACACCTCCCTGTACGGACACCTCCCTGCTAGGGACACCTCTCTGCTAGGGACACCTCCCTGTACGGACACCTCCCTGCTAGGGACAGCTCCCTGCTAGGGACACCTCCCTGCTAGGGACACCTCTCTGCTAGAGACACCTCCCTGCTAGGGACACCTCTCTGCTAGGGACACCTCCCTGCTAGGGACAGCTCCCTGCTAGGGACACCTCCCTGCTAGGGACACCTCTCTGCTAGGGACACCTCCCTGCTAGGGACACCTCCCTGTAGGGACAGCTCCCTGCTAGGGAGCTTCTGCGGTGACTTGAGCGCTGGGGAACGGCTGTAAATGCAGATGAAGTTCGCTCCCGCCCCGGCTGCTGTGGGCGCGGGGTTCCCAACAGGCCCCAGACCCGCAGCGCTCCGCCGGTGACTGCGGCCGCGGGGACGTGGCCGGGTACGTGCCCGAGCCAGGCACTGGGGGCCACGGGGAACGAGTGGGTCCGTTATTCCACAAGTATTCCTAAATTGCTCATTCACCCAGTTGCATATATGTATTTTTTGAGACAGGGTCTCACTATGTTGCCCAGGCTGGAGTGCAGTGGCACAATCACAGCTCACTGCAGCCTCAAACTCCTGGACTCAAACAATCCTCCTGCCTCAGCCTCCTCAGTAGCTGGGACTATGGGCATGCGCTGCCGTGCCCAGCTAATTTGTTGTAGAGACAGGGTCTTGGTATGCTGCCCAGGCTGCTCAGAAACTCCTGGCCTCAAGCAATTCTTCAGCCTCAGCCTCCCAAAGTGCTGGGATTCCAGGCCAGAGCCCCCAGGCCGTCCAGTTCACCCCATTTTCCAGGCAAGGAAACTGAGGCACAGATCAAAAGGCCATTGTCTGAGGTCACTCGACTAGAGCCTCCATGGGTCACAGAAGCAGCATTAAGGCCAGGAGGCTTCAAGGGAGGGACAGAATAAAAACAGGAAAAACACTCCGGGCACAGTGTGGCTCAGGCCTATAATCCCAGCACTCTGGGAGGCTGAGATAGGAGGATCTCTTGAGGTCAGGAGGTCAAGACCAGCCTGAGCAAGAGCAAGATCCCGTCTCTACTAAAAATAGAAAGAATTAGTTGGGTGTAGTGGCGCACGCCTGTAGTCCCAGCTACTCAGGAGGCTGAGGCAGGAGGATCCCTTGAGCCCAGGAGTTTAAGATTGCTGTGAGCCATGACACTCTAGCCCAGGTGACAGAGAGAGACTCTATCTCAAAAAACAAACAGGCCGGGTGCAGAGGCTCACACCTGTGATCCTAACACTCTGGGAGGCCGAGGCGGGTTTCCCATGAGGAGGCACTGCCCAGGCAGTGGGGGACTCCCCGGAGTGGACTCCAGCACCACAGGCTCGCGAACAGCCCTGCTGAATCCGAGCCCCACCGGGTGGCCCAGACACGCCAGGGAGGCCTGACAGGCGTGCAGGACGCTGGCGGGACGCCAACGGCAATGTGCCGGCCAGGTTAGAGGGATGCCGGTGCCGGCCAGGCCTTGTTTGGCCAAGGGCAAAGGGTGCTTGAAACAAACAAAAGAAACTCGGTATAAGAGGCGTCCCAGGCCGGGCACGGTGGCTCACGCCTGTCATCCCGGCACTCTGGGAGGCCAAGGCGGGAATCGCTAAGGTCAGGGATACTGAGACCAGCCTGAAAGACGAGACCCCGTTACTAAAATAGAAGAATGAGCTGGACAACTAAAAAAATAGAAAAAATTAGCCGGGCGTGGTGGCGCATGCCTGTGTCCCACGCTACTCGGAGGCTGAGGCCAGGAGATGGCTGGAGACCCAGTAGTCGAGGTGCTGTGAGCGGGCTGACACCACGGCACTCACTCTAGCCTGGGCAACAGAATGAGTCTCTGTCTCAAAAAAACAAAAAGAGGTGTCCCAGCACCAACATGGCAATGAAAATAAGAAGAAAGTCGCGCGCTGGGGTACCCCTTTCTGACTTTTCCAGACTTTTCTATGTGCAAATTCTTTTTTTTTTTTTCCTTTGCCCAATTGGCAAACTCTAATCGTCACTGAAACCTCTGCTTGGGTGACCCCACATGTGGCAGACTGCGGTCACTGCAGGTTTTTGTTTGTCCTTGCAACAGTGAGCGTGGCCAATCAGCGGTCTCCGTGCCCCTGGCCACGGTGATTGGTTAAAGGGCCTGCCGGAGCCAATCCGATTCTCCGCAGGGAAGGCTGCTGAGGGCTGAGGGGGAAAAGAGACCTTTCCTGGGGGGTGAAAGTGAGTTAGTGAAAGCCCAGCGCAATTGGGATCTGGAAGAAGCTTTCTGCAGAGAGAACCCGACATAAACAAGAGGCTGGGGCGACTGGGCGGAAAGGCATTCATGGTTTGAGCCCCTGGATCCCGCTATACCTGAAGTCCTAGCTGTGACTGTCCACTTAGATGAGCCCGGGAAGTGGTTCTTGATTAATCCACTTGGAATTTGGACCGTGTCCCCAGCAATTGGAAGAGCCTGCACTAATGTATACCCGCTCCGTGAACGCTTCCCTAACTGCCCGCATCAAAACCTAATCATGGGGCCCCGGGCGCGGTGGCTCACGCCTGTCATCCTAGCTCTGTGGGAGGCCGAGGCGGGCGGATTGCTCAAGGTCAGGAGTTCAAAACCAGCTGACAGAGCGAGACCCGTCCTACTATAAATAAAAATTAATTGCAACTGAATAATGTATAAAAAAAAAATTAGCCGGGCATGTGCGCATGCCGTAGTCCCTAGCTCGGGAGGCTGAGGCAGGAGGAGGCTTGAGGCCGAGGTTTGAGGTTCTGTGAGCTAGGACGCACGGCACTCACTCTAGCCTGGCACACAAAGTAGACTCTGTCTCAAAAAAAAAAAAAAAACCTAATCATGGGGCCCCGGGCGCAGTGGCTCACGCCTGTGATCCCAGCACTCTGGGAGGCCGAGCAGGCGGATTGCTCGAGGTCAGGAGTTCGAAACCACCCTGAGCAAAGAGCGAGACCCCGTCCTACTATAAATAGAAAGAAATTAATTGGCCAACTAATATACGTAGAAAAAATGAGCCGGCATGGCGCATGCCTAGTCCCAGCTACTCGGAGGCTCAGGCGGGGAGATCGCTTGAGCCAGGAGTCTGAGGTTGCTGTGAGCTAGCTGACGCCGGCACTCACCTACCCGGGCCACAGAGTGAGACTCTGTCTGGAAAAAAAAAAAAGAGTCAAGCCAGGAGTGACCATAAAGAGGAACACACAGGACCTGGCAGCTTTAAGCCCTCAGCCTGCAGGAGCACACTTGTCCCCCTTCCCTCCTCCCTCCCCTCCCCATCCCACTCAAAATTATTTTCTGCAATGCATCTCTAGCATAGCATCTTTTTATTTTATTTTATTTTATTTTTGAGACAGAGTCTCACTCTGCTGCCCAGGCTAGAGTGAGTGCCATGGCTTCAGCCTCGCTCACAGCAACTTCAATCTCTTAGGCTCAAGCGATCCTCCTGCCTCAGCCTCCCGAGTAGCTGGGACTACAGGCATGCCCCACCATGCCCCGCTCATTTTTTGTATATATATATTTTAATTAGTCAATTAGTTTCTTTCTATTTTTAGTAGAGACTGGGGGGTCTCACTCTTGCTCAGGCTGGTTTCGAACTCCTGCCTTGAGCAATCCTCCCACCTGGGCCTCCCAGACGGCCTCCCAGAGTGCTGGGATTACAGGCGTGAGCCACCGCACCCTGCCCACAAATGAAACTTTTTAAAAATAACTCTGGGAAAGAGGTTGTGCCACCCAAGTTCATTACATTGTTCCAAATGTCAATTTCCTGGGTTCCAAGTGGTTTAGTGAGAGACACAGTTTCACTGGGCGAAGCCGAGTGGAGGGTTCATGAAAGGGCTTCACTAATGTCGCAACCTTGTGTCAGTCTTCAACTATTTCAAAATAAAAGGTTGCAAAACTCCAGTGTGAAAAGCATAGAAAGCAGAGTTGTGGAGAGCCACCTGCTGTCCCCGTTACCGCAGCACTTCTCACCGTGGCCGAAAGGGAGAAGCCACCCAAGTGTCCGTCAACGGCTGCCTGGGCAGACAAAGCGTGGTCCGTCCACACAAGGGGCATTATTCACCTTCAAAAGTAAGGGTGGCCGGGCGCGGCGGCTCACGCCTGTCATCCCAGCACTCTGGGAGGCCGAGGCAGGAGATCGCTCAAGTCAGGAGTTCGAGAAAGCCGGCAAGAGTGAGACCCCGTCTCTACTAAAAAATAGAAGGATGGATGTGGAATACATAGGCCTGGGGGAAAAAGCAAAGAAAAGAAAGAAAAGAAAAAAGAAAAGAAAGAAAGAAAGAAAGGAAAGAAAGAAAGAAAGAAAGAAGAAAAAAGAAAGAAGAAAAGAAAAGAAAAAAAGAAAAAAAGAAAAAATTGCCAACTAATATACAGAAAAAATTAGCCGGCATGGTGGCACATGCGTAGTCCAGTACTGGGAGGCTGAGCAGGAGGATCGCTTGAGCCCAGGATCTGAGGTTGTTGTGAGCGAGCTGAAGCCACGGCACTCACCCTAGCCGGGCGACAGAGTGAGACTCTGTCTCAGAAAAAAAAATATATAGTCCCTCCACGCTGGGCCAGGTAGCACCTGGAGTCCCAGCTACTGGGGAGGCTGAGGCAGGAGGATCGCTGGAGCCCAGGAGTTCGAGACCAGCCTGGGCCACGTAGACAGTCCGTGTCTGAAAAATATAAATAAATAAAAAGAAGTCCTCTTCCAAGTTTTGTGAGGTTAAAAAGGAGCACGCCAGCCAAGTATTTGGAACAGGGTGGGCGCGTGGTCAGGGCTGCAGTCCTCGGGGCAGCCGGGTGACTCGGTTTCTCCCCGTCACTGCCGACTCTGGGTGTTTTTGTCCACCTCCCACCCCCCACCCGTTTCTGCCGCGCAATAGGACTTGCATCGTGGCTTCCGTCTCCAGCCCAGCTGCTAGCGATGCGCGCGCTGCCCCGGCCGGGCACTCTTGGGTCGTAGGTAACCGACTTTGGGCATCCGACCGCTGGCCGTTCCCCTGCTCGCCGCCGGCGCCGGCTCTCCGACCCTTAATAAACTACCGGGCGCCAACGACC